GAGAACCTGTGGTCAGTCCTCAAAAGGCGAGTGGACAAGCAGAAGGCCACAAAGTGTGACTCCGAGAACTAATAAGGCAAAAATGGATCTCGATTGACAGTCAGGTTTTGGCCCAGAGGCTAATATCCAGCATGCCAGAGCGATTTGCAGCGGTTATGAAGAACAAGGGTCAACACTGTAAATATTGATTTATTATATTTGTTTGCCAATAAAAGCCTTTAAAACTTATGATATGCTTATCATTGTTTTTCAGTATAGCATAGAAACATGTGGAAAAATTATCTACAAATACTGAAGCAGCAAACTTTACAAAACACAAAATTGATGTCACTGCCAAAACTTTTGGCCATGACTCCAGTTGATAGATTTGAATGGGTATAACCTACATCATATTGTACACAGCACACCAGTGCCCTCTGGTGTTAAAACACGTTTGGTTTCACTGACACTTTCTAAATGAAATACAAGTTCCAATACAATTGTTCAGGTTTTTCCAACTCACCTTGCTCAAGATCTTCATGCCAGAGTGAAGGAGTTTCTTTGCGGCTTTGTAGTAAATTGTCTCTGGTTTGTTGTAGATCAAAGCATTCTCACACATCACTTTGAAATCCAGCTGTTGGGAGAACAGTACAGCATAGTCAACCATTTTGTCAAAATAAACGGGATGTATTTTTGTCTAAATTACCTCCATCAATATTCAAATGTTCTATGACTAATTCAAATGTTCTATGGCAAATTAAGGCAGCTGGCATATTCAATCATTCAACTACTTTGTGTGCTAGTGTTAACAGCTGTGATGATTATATTACCTTGAGCTCCTCAAGTGACTGGTATTGCTCCTTCTTCACTTTCTCCTTCATAGTGCTGAAGTCCATGGGTCTCTTTATAATGAGAGAGTATCCTGGAGCGATCAGGTCTGTCACAGGAAATGAGAAGAATGCACTTGGGTCCTTCCTGCAATAAACAGCAGCCAGCAGCGTTCGGCTTTCATTCGCAGAAATTATAGACAGGATTATGATCATACACCACAGGAATATAACCCCCACAACACAGGTCCAATAAGATACACAGATAAAGACTACTGATGCAGAATCAGAGGTGTTGTTTAAGTTGTGCAAGAGAACAGTTTCAAAGTTATACACTACCATTCAAAAGTTTAGGGTCAATATGTAAGAAATTAATGCTTCTTTTCATCAAGGATGCAATAAATTGATCAAAAGTGATGATCAAAAAGTAGTGTTACAAACCATTTATATTTCAAATTAAAATGCTATATAAACTTTCTATTCACCAAAGAATCCTCATAAATGTATGATGTTTCCCACAAAAAAAGTAGCACAACAGTTTTCCACGTTGATAATAATAAATGTTTCTTGAGAAGCAAATCAGCATATTAGAATGATTTCTGAAAGATCATGTGACACTGAAGACTGGAGTAATGATGCTGAAAATTCAGCTTTGCCATCACAGGAATAAATTATATTTAAAAATATATTAAAATAGAAAAGAGTTACTTTAAATTGTAATAATATTTCACAATATTGCTGTTTTTGATCAAAGAGACTTATTTAAAAAAACACACAAAAAAAACCTTACTAACCCCAAAACCATTGAATGTTAGTGCACATTAGTTATGCATACATCCACAACCTGTCTAAACACAAATTGTCCACAGGTTAGCAATATTTAATCCTACCTCTGAAGTTGTCGGATGAGCTGACTCAGAGCTTCCTGTAGAGGCGTCTGCTCTTTTTCTGAGGAATTACAAAAGTCATAACCGACAAATAATCAGCACAAGCACTCAATCCCTCAAAACAACATCATTAAAACAGATCCGTTCTAAACCATGAAAGGGTGCGCAGCTCTACCTTCCATTTTGGCAAGTGAGAGGGTGAGGGGCTTGTCCTGGGACACATCGGAGCGAGCAGGAGTTCTGCTCTGCTCATCCCAGTCTGGATCCACAGAGTCTGGGCCCTTCCTTTTTTTGGTCATCTATGAGACACACATAACATTGATTAGGATGTAGTAGGCAAGTAAACATCAAAAGTAAAGCACAAAAACACAGTATTCATATCCCACCTTTTTCTTTTTGTCAACCGGTGACACTGGAGGACTGGCTCTGGCTCTGTCCTTCTCGTCCTTCTTTTTCTTCTTCTTTTTCTTGTCTTTGTGTTTGTCGTAATCTACAGAATCGTTGTGAACACTCTTGAGGCTAGGGCTGCCTGTGGTGACCTCATTCCCAGCCACTTTCAACACCAGCTTCAGTGGACGCTCTGAAAGGCCAGACACAACATTGTGATTTAGTACAATAATATAATATAATATTGAAATACTGTCCCATTCATTACCATGGCTATACACTGAATCTGATTTGAACACCTGGTATATCCCGTGTCTCTTTGTCTGGCTTTTGTTAGAAAAACCAACTAGGAGAACATTAATATTTTATTGTGTCATCGTTTTAGCACTAATCAGAATCAGAATCAGCTTTATTCGCCAAGTGTGCGCAAACACACAAGGAATTTGTTGTGGTTTTTAAGAAGCTCTTGGTACATACATGCATACATATATACATACATATCTGACATGAGAACAGACATATTTAAATAAGACTTAACAATAAATAATAATGTGTATGAATCTAGAACAGAAGATGTATGTACAAATTTGTGCATTACTTACTCTATATATACAGCTGTATTAAAAAATGCATATGTATTTAACAAATAGTTCCCTCATTTGATAAGATCTACTCTTCTCATAGACCACTGCATGTATCAGAGTCTGAAATATCCTCTCTTTTAAAACCACATAACAAGTCAAAATTATTTTTTTATTATTATCGTTTATTACAGTTGGTGATGCTCAATGCATTTTCATCTGGATTTAGATTTAAGACATTTATGGAAAAGAACCTACAACTAATTCTGCTGCTGACTTCACTAATCTGATGTTTTGAGCAACAGCTGCTAGTTTTCCGGAGCAAAACAGCTGCTAGCCAGCTTGGTAGCCTGCAAATAAAGCTAATGAGAAAACACATAGGCCTGTTATTCTATATAAATCAGAACATTTACTGTATTAACATCACGTTGTGGACATGTAATATCTGACAGCATTAGAGTCTGAGTGCTGCTTCATAGCTCATCTGAGTTCATAATGTAACTTAAAGCAGGCTTTCAGTCTATAGTGAAATATTCTCCAGCATGGTGAATGTATCGTGTGTGACCTACCGTCGTGTGTGTGCTTCTCTGATTTGTGTTTCTTGTGCTTTTTGCCCATAATTTAAAGTAAAGCTGAAGGTTCAGCCAGGTCAGTGCTTGACCAGTCCGCTCTTTGTTTTGTGTCGGTAAAGATTTCAGAGCGCCTCTCATGAAGCCGCAGGATTCAAACAGCGGCGCCTAATGTTCGGCGGTGTGATTTGCAGTTAATGCACCATGACTTTTTTTTTTTTTTTTTATTATTTGACAATAAACCGACTGTAATTTCATAAATAAATAGTTAAATATAATATAACAGAGTCAAACTTTTATATAAAAACACCTTTTTTTTTTTAAACACGAATCAGAGCCGAGGAAAAAATGCCATTGAAATACTATGTAATACAGTGTCCCACAATGCCAAACTCCAAGACCGGTAAGAGCAACAAACAAAAAACGAGCTTAACAGTTTTACACTATGTACCACAGTAGCATACTGAGGCATCATAAGCAGAGACCTGCATATAAACAGCCTTTTAATTAACAAAGTAGAATAATCATGGCTGATAGTAAGGCATGTAAACGTAAAAGAAAACCAAACTGGAAGCAAGAACAGCTAATACTTCTTGCCCAATTTAGTAATGAAAACAACAGTCGTACCCTCGTGATTAAGGCGACACCTTTTTAAAATCTCATTATCGTCAAACGTTTCTAAAATGTTTCTGCTCCGGTGTTGTGCCCAATTCTGACCCCCGCCAGATTACTACCCCCTAGTATTGGTAGGTTTAAAGTTAGGTGTGGGGGAAGGGTTAGGATCAGGAGTGGAGCTAGGATTAGGCAATCTGGGGCCGTATGTATAAAGCCGCTCAGAATAAATTTTTAGTCCTACGTGTGTCAAAATTCTTAGAATGATGTAATTTTACTCTTATTAAGAATAAGAGTGATTCATAAAGGTTCCTAAGTGTTAAGACTAGGTCCCAGCTCCTAAATTATTTAAGAGAGCTGAAGAGGTCTCCTAACCTAGTTAGGAGTAACAAGATGGCAGCACAGAGAAGGAAACAAACACTTTCCAGCGAAGATATGACTGACATATTGGAGTTATATGATGATATGGAGTTGATAAAACGATACAAACTTGATTGTCAAGATCAACTGACAAAACTTTTTTTTGTAACTGACTAAAGTAAGAAATTTAATAACTTCTTCCACTCAACAAGTCAATGCTCTAACTGCAGAAATGTAGTAATACAATTTTTTTGTCTGTAAAATTGGAAAAATTCAGCAATGCACCGGTGATGACACAGTAAGCAGGGTCTTACATATTGTGGCACTAACCCCACCAAACACAACAGCGGCCAAAAGTGATGTGTGGAATTTTTTTTTTAATGACCCCACATTTCACTTAAACCACTAAAATACAAAGGGGAAAAAAAACACTGACCAGTGTTGCCAACTGCTTTCAATCGAAAGTAGCTAAAACTGGTCACTTAATGTTGCTACAAAATAAGTTATTAATATTTAATTGGTCCTCTTGTTTTTGCATGTGTTCATAATTTCTTTGTATGATAGCATGCCAAACATTATGACTGCACAATTTGGCATGTTTCATTGCATTATTGTCACAAATAAAACAACTGACTCTAAGCAACTATGCAATATGCTTACAAAATCTTGAACATTCATTTATTTATTTTTTTTAATTAAGGGTTAATTGAAATTTCCTAGGCCGGACCTCACTTTTGGCCACTACTATATGGCAATTAATTAACTTTCCAACTGACCGCCAAACCATATTGCAAAAACAAGCCACTTTTATGAGGATTGTGGGCTTTCATGGAGTTGTTGGAGACACTGATTGAACTCATGTTCCCATCATTGCTCCAACTGTAAACGAGGAGACATACCAATAGAAAACGAAGCATCAGTAATAATTTGTGATAATTTTGCACAATGCAAAGCATTAAAAAAAAAAAACATTTAAATATTAAAATATTTCAGTGTCTTAATTTAATGATTTTATTGTAGTTACATTAAATGATTGGTGTTGTGCTGCTGTGACTTTACATGAGCAGGCTCACTATTGGCTGATTCAGAGGTTGAGGTCAGCCATTTTGTGTTGACATCATTGTAGTCCTTAGTTCACAACACTTAAGTGTCACCTCAGTCAACACTTAAGAATCAGTCTTAGACTTTACTGAAAGTTGCTTTTAGCTTCTTTATGAAAGTCTCGTACTCTTAGAAAAGTCCTACTTTTTACTAAGAATTTTTTGACACTTAAGTCAAAGCTTAAGACTATTCTTAAGAGCATTTCTGAGAAGTTTTATACATACGGGCCCAGGTAGCGATTTCAACGAGAGAGGGTAATAATTTGAGATAATTTGGCTGGGGTCGAAAATGGGCACAACACCGGCAACAGCCATTTTAGTTTGTGACTTGGTCTTAGTGAGTCCTCTTCACTACTCCTATAACGTTTCATAGATTTAGGAGCTATAGTTTTAGTGCTGAAACGCTTTGTGGCCTACTCTTAGAGCAAAATTTAGGATTGACACTAAATCGGCGAGTTATAAGCTATTTTTAGCCTTAAGATGTTTTGTGAATATGGGCCCTGGTGGACAGTTGACCCTGAGAGGTCAAGTAAATATCTACAGCGGATCTAAATATTTATAATTAATTATAACTAGTTATGATTAATTATTCATATTTCCCTTATGAGCTGATTCGCTACAGGACAGTTCACTGGTTTCACAGACAAGGCTTAAGCCCCAGTCCCAGACTAAAATGCATGTCTGTTCTGTTTTAACGGTAAAACTTACACTGACATATCTTAAAATATGTTAGTACTATTGATTTGTCTCAAGATGCACACCAGTAATGTTTTTTTTTTTTTTTTAAGGCACGTTTAGAAAAGATAGGCTACTTAAATGTCCTAATTGAACTATGGCCTAATCCTGTTTGTTAGTCATGTCTTTTATGTGGCAGATTATGCATGGATTTCTGGAAAGTCCCAATACCAAAACCTTAGGACTCATAACTAAATCTTACTCCTTTTTTTCCCATCTGAATTACATGTAGGAAATGTGGAGAAATGTAATGCACATGAACTACACTGCACTACTCTAACAATTAGAACACAATGTTTCCGCTTATATTATAGTACAGGCTTTCATTTAATGTGTACATTGTTTCAATTTACAAAGCCAGTACTTGGTGTTGAAGTTTGAATTGTTTATCGTGATAAGAAAGTAAACATAAATGCATCCAGGACAACAACATATACCTACCATGGTCTTTGTTAAGTGGAAGTATATGATATAGTTTAGACCTATGTATTCATCTGAACAGTGCAGAGTATTTATCAGGATTACAATGAAGTCATATGATTTTTAGTTTACTTAATGAAGCCATTAACTATTATTCATAGTCACTTTTAGCTGACATATTAAATACTTGATTCAGATCTGCATTTTATGTAAAAAATGACCCATGACCCTCAATATGTCCTTCTCTGGTATGGCATAGGCTTTCCAAAAGCTGCCATTATCTCTACACTGGAACTCCCTCAGGCTGTTCTTCAGGCAGTCTGTGATGTGATTTAACTCATCTCAGCCTGTCTCATATACTGTTGCCTTTGCTCTTATCGCTCATATAAAGCCACACACTCTCACTTACACACACAGCCTTAATGGCCATATTTAAGCTGTGCTGTATCTGTTTGCAACAGGCCTTAAACATGAGGGAAGCTATCAATGTTTGAATAGACATGTTGGACGTAATCTTCTTTTTCTATCACATACTTTTTGTAATGCCATTTCTTGCTTGCTTTGAATCTTTTGAATAACTATTAAGGAATATTACAACAATCACTGTTAGAAATAAATCCTGTCACTGTAACCAGACCTAATTTTTTAAGCCATGGCATTGATGTTCTGCTCTCTTATGATACATTTATGGCTTAAAATCTAATGGAATCTGACCACCATATTGGCCATACTTTGAAGAGATGGATCCAAAAGCAAAGGAGCACAGTGAGGTGGGTCAGTTTCATTTACTTCAACAAGCCAATGACATTCAATGTCTTTTGAAAACAGTCCATTGGATGCATTTCTCATCAAAGCAGCCACAAACCCATGGGGACAATCATCACATTTGTTCTGGTGATTCATTTTTAATATCTAACACAGGGCTGGTCTTGATTTTCACTCAACTCTGGACATGAAAGGCACCCTGAAGGATGGAACGGCACAATTATGTATCATTTACACTGACACACTAGAATATACGCAATCATCTCTCAAAAATCCCTTAACTGTGAAACCCATTTGCACTGTTTACTCAGCTGGTTCCTTAAGAGCTGGTTCTGTGACTCATTTGACTTGCTTAAATATATTTGTCTGGTTCAGCATTTGCTTTCTATTTCCCATGTATTTGTGTATTTTCCATATACTGTATATCTGCTAATAGTTTTCATTTATTTATTTATTTGTTTGTGATCGGGAATGACACTAGCCCTAATTTTGTATGTTGGACATGTTCCATAAGTGAATGGAATAAAATATGGATTTGCTTCAGATGGATTTCTAGGATTCTTGGCCAGGTGTTCTTTGAAGTCTTGGAAGTCCACCCTGAGGTAACTGGGGCTTGGCTTTAGATTTATAGCGATTTGTTTTAGCATGGCAGGTTAAAGCTATAGGGTCCTGGTTCTGCTTAGGACGGTAACTGTCTGTGTCTGGTACTCTTCAGCCTGCATAGAGACAGACTCCTTCATCAGGTGCACCCATGGTGCATTATCTGTCTCTGCTGGCATGAAATCTTAGAACTCTGCTCTGTGAAGTCTTTAGTTTACCTTGGCTCCCAAACATGGGACTCTGCTCCAGCAAGAGAAGCTGTCTTTAACTCGTTCCCAATCAAATGATAGTGGATTAAACTTTCAGAGAGTTTTATTACAGTCAGCAACACTACATTCCGTGCCTAACCCTTACGAAAAAGAAGTTTATTCAAGTGTGCTACTACATAAATTATACTTAAAAATATACTTGAACTTTACTTAAGATACTTACTAAAATAAACTTGAAGTATACTACTTTTTGGTAAGGGAAGCTGTGAACAAAAAATTTGATTTCCTCTCCTTCCACACCAATTGCCTTCATATTTCCACTAAAATATGCTTAGCAGACTTCCAGTATAGTATTCTTCCTTAGCAAACCTTTTCTGTTGTATTTCTAATAACTATTGATCACAACAAATTATATTATTGTATAATATAGTATATTCTATATGTATTATTAGCTATAGTAGCCATGATGTTTTAGGATATGATAAAAAAAACATTACATTATAGTAATGAGTTACAGAAGCTTTAAATACCTTTAGTGTAAAGGTGGATCATATCAATATTTTGTATTAATCAAGACCAATTTTGTGCTTATTTTTTTCATACATTGTGCTGCACCATAAGTTGCAGTGGTAACTGAGGCTAAATGCAGAAGCATTCATCCATAGAGTGCAACCATTTAACAACAAAATCAAGACTTACTAGGTTCTTTCACCTTGGCGCATAGAATTTGGAGCTAGTAGAATTGGATTGTTATCCATATATGATCATTTACTTAAATCAGTATGACTTTTTTTTTTCTTTGAAGAAAAAGGGCATTTTTTCCATTAAATGAAAGTGAAGGGGAATTCAGTTAGTTTGACACATTTGGTATCATGAGTTAATGCATTTACTGGAAATCGAACCCATGACTTTGGCATTGTTAGTGCCATGTTGTATTGTTGGAGCTATAGGAAAGCCTTTTCAAGACGCATGTGCTATAGTCTTCTGAAGCCAAACAATAACACTAAAATTTAAATCACTATTTACTTTGACTAATCTTCTCCTCCATCATAATTATAAAAATGTGCAACAGATGTTGTATGTACTACAAAAATGGTGTACCGAAATTATTTAACACCAAATGCCATTGGTTGTCATCAGCATCAGTCCTAATGCAGTGCTTCTTAATACAGCAGAGTACAGTACAATAATACAGTACAGTACAATAATGTTTAAGACACCCCCTCAACTATGTATGTATCTATGTATTTATATATTTATTTTTTTATTTATTCTGGAAAAATAAATTAATAACATCTTAAAACATTTATATAATGAATATACATTTTTCTAGTTATTCCAAAATCTAAAATCTTGTAACCGGGCAGAAATTGTGATTCAGGGAATAACAAACGTCCTTTTCAATATTGTAGACAATGGAATCAAAAAGATTTCCTTGCAATCAAAAAGGTTAAGAGCCACCGGTTTGATGTTTGATGCCTTGCAGCTACAGTCATTTATTTGAGAGCTAGTGTGGGTTACAGTGAAAATTTTCAGTGAATAATGACTTGACCATCACTCTGTTCTTCACACAATGCAATCGTTTGACTTCAGAAGAGATAGCACACAACGCATATGGACCACTTTTATGGTGCTTTTTTCTGAGCTTGACAGCCTCAGCCCACATTCACTTTCATCAAATTCACACTTCCATAAGAAAGAAAATCGCACAGTTTTGAAACAACATGAGGCTGAGTAAATTTTCATTTTTCAGTAAACAATCCCTTTAGGTTTACTGTAAACTCATGGCAGATTTGACCTAATTCAGCCAGGATAAAAAGATATTCATACAGGAACATACAATCAAAAAACACACATGCACCACATAAAAGTCACATTCCAATGGAAAAACATGGGTAACTGCTTCCTCTTGCTGCAGCAAGGGCTAAATTGAAATTTTGGTCTCATCCCCTGCCCTCCTCAAAGGAAACGATTATCTTTTTATCTGGCCAGCACTGTGAACCAAACTAGAGTGCCAAGGTGGGTTCAAAGACTCATTGCTGTAGCTGTGAAGGACAGATGGACATTGCAGCAATGAAATACTATAATAGACTTGTCTGCTATTCGTATGCCAGCATTCTAGTACGAAAACTGCACGAAAATGTAAAAATAAATCTGTACAATCTGCATATTTTTTTTTAAGCAGCAAAATCATTAGGGATGAACGGAGGCCACCTACCATTTTCCAGAGTAAATGTTTGGGGACTCTCTCTCCCTGACTTATTTATTTTCACATTTATTTTCACATGAGGCACAGTGACACAGTATAGAAACCAACAGTAGGGTATTAAAACATTTCTGGATCTGTATGAATTCTGTGCTCGTTGTTCTGATATATGTGCTTGCCGAATGGCTCTTCGTTAAACATACAGATCAAATACAAAGTTTGTTTATGACTTCTAATCATATATGAGTTATAATCATAAAAATTAAAATGCTGTCATTTACCCACCCTCTATTTATACTAAAGTTACAGTTTGCAGATTGGTGTATATTGTTAGATCAGTCCAGACCATACATGCCTATAACTTGGAAGCATCATCTCATGTCCTCTGAAATTCCAGTGAAGTTTTTCATTTAGGATGAAAGCTAAAATCAAATAGACTTCTAGGTTTGACTTGCCACATGGATCTGATACACTGTCATCGTCAGCATCATCCATTTCCAGTAACTCTCTCACATGCCACTGCTCTCTGATCCAATTACTCTATTGAATATTCCATTTGGCTTACTTATTGTTTTTATAGCAGGCTATATCATGTTTAAGCTTCTTTAATGTATTATTTGTTTTTGTAATGTCTCTTTATAATGGAAGTAGTGGGCTTTTTAACAGCCTGTTCTGATGAGAGACACTGTGGGGGAGGCACACTCTGTGTGTGTTTGTGTGTGTGTGTGTGATGAAGAAAAGGAGGGTGGGGGGTACTGATATCTGTCGCTCGAGGCCTTTCTTCTCTGAGCCTCTGAAGGCAGAGGCCCTTTGGAGAGGAGAATTCACAGGAGAATAACCGTTCAAAGCCAAGAAGCGCCATGATGGTCTTCCACCAGATTCAGAGACATTTGAAAAGTTCGCACAAACTGTGATGCTGCCATTGGGAAACGTTTTTAACACGCACAACGCTCTGGTGTGCTTCAGTCTGCGACTCGCCGTTTTTATCATAAAGAGGAGGGCAGGAGAGGAGGAAAAAGAGGCAGAGAGGAAGAGGGCGTGAGGGAGAGACGGACAGAGAGTAATAAAGAGAACGGAAAAAGCAGAAAAAGACAGATTAGAAGAAAAGGCAAGCTGTGACCCCAGCAGCTCTTACTATAAAGGCTGCTCACTGTCATTCTGTTTGAAATCTCTTTTAACTCAATTAATCAGTACCCTCAAAGGGAAAAGTTGCATACCACATGATTCCCTTCAACATCCAAGTCTCTCTGCCTAGACATATGTCATTATTGGTACCAAAATATGGCACAAAGACAATATAGTGCCTCGCACACATGAATCATTTGATTCATTCAAAAGTCCAAAATAAACTCGGATAAGCCTGAGGTTGACTGACTGAATCGTTGCTAATAAAATTTCATAATAATGCAAGTTTCAGTAGTGTGAACAAAATGTGCCACAAAATCCAAATTTTTATGTAATTGTAGATTTCAGGAAAAAACAGGTTGACCACAGATGTAACTACATCTCATGAATTATTTTCTTATTGTGACTTTTCCTATTAACATCAATATTTGTGAAATGTATTCCATCTAAATTTTTTTAAAGTTTAATGACTTTTTTCTGTTTTAAAGAGGGAGGGGGGTATAGGGGATTCTTACATATTTAGCTTTGTTGAGTTAATTTTATTGCTTTTGTTTTGAAGAGTTAATTTAATCTGCACATAATTTCATGCTGCACAAAAAATTGTTATGATAAAGATTTGCTTGCTTGATTGATTCGATAGAATCAATAGCGATAATGTATTCATATGATCTACCATTATTATAAAGGCGCAGTCGTGGCCTAATGGTTAGAGAGTCAGACTTGTAACCCAAAGAATGCGGGTTTGAGTTTTGGTACCGGCAGGGATTGTTGGTGGGGGGAGTGAATATACAGTGCAATACCATAACTGACTCAATACCATAGCTGCATCCCAATGTGAAGTGTGCGCACTTCGAAAATCGCATTTGAAGGCTGATGGCATCACCGTGGTGCGATGAAGGCTGTGTAATTCAAAAGCGGCTTCAAGGGTGAGAGTTCTGTGGTGGCAGAGGAATTCACATTTAAATGTAAGTATTGTGTTTTAATTTACTCAAATACTTAGCAAAACAAAGCCTTTTTTTTTTTTTTTAAAGAACTTTAAAAATATTACTACTGCACGGCTTCATTTGTTAGATGATCTGAGACAAAACTTCTAATATTTCAATTGTTTTAGGGAGCAACGAGCGGACAGCTCAATTTATTAAAATGAGGGGTAAAAAAAGGACCATTTATTTACCGGGGCCAAAAACTTGGCTAGCGTGGCTTGGAAAAGGCAACGACCCATTTGTAATATTTCCACTAGGCTCTCGTGTGTATTAACTATTAGCTGTCACTCTACACAAAACCCACAAATAATAAGACAACCAGAATATAAGGCAATATTCTTTCACTTTGTTGTGTTTTTGTAGTGCTGTCATGCAAGATATGTCTACAAATATTTTAACCAAATGTCAGTATTTTGTATGCATGTCCTGCTGTGTCATATTTTCTAATGTTAAGATTGCAGCCCTGTCTTAACATTTTTCATAAGTGTTTCCATTTTCTCTTGTTTTAGGACAATTCTGGAGAAAATGGGTCTGCTGGGGAAAGACTTAAAAAATACAAAGTAAGCAAATTAATACACACATTTTTGCTGAAATTCATTGTGCTGTTGTTGTTAACAGGCATGGTTTATTTGCTCTGCCTTAGGATTGAAAGTGTCCTGGGACAGGTGAGGGAGTGAGTGAGTGAGCTACTCAGGGAGGACATCAAATTCCAGAGACAGAGGAGAGAAGAGCACAGGAGAGCAGGGAGAGACTGTTTTCTCTTCTTGAGAGAATGGTTAACAAATAAATTATTAACCATTCTCTCAAGAAGAGAAAACAGTGGAAAAAATGGGTACATTAAAATTTTTCGATATCTTATATTTTATTTTAAATGTCACTTTGTCAATGAAACAACCTAATTTCTGTAGTTTATTTTTGTAAAACTGAATAAACCACATGCCAGCCAGAAAAGAAACACCAGGGTATGGATTGTGGCACCCTATCTGTGTTGCCGTTCACTTCTCCGAAGATCCAGCAGCACTGTCAGGGCCT